GCCTCATATGAGTGTACCAGGCTCTGCTGACTCCCCATAGGAGATCTTGCCTTGGAGGAGGTAGGAATGCAGGGTGGATTGGGGGAAGAAGCCTGGGGGGCAGAGGAGGGAAGACAGGGGTATCTATGGTTGGTATGTAAAATGAATAAAAAAATCTCTTAATAAAAATATTTTTAAAAATGAAATTTCATTTATCATGAGTAAAGATTAATATAGAATTTTATAACTAGACTATGTAAAAAAAAGTGGCTTCGAAATGCTCACTCCTAAATATGACATTTAAATCACTCTCTCAAAGGCTCAGGAGAGATTAAAAAAGGGAGAGCAGCAGAAGAAATATAAGGACTAAACTGGAGAAGTGGCTCACTAGTTAAGAACATATACTGCTTTTGACAAGGACCTGAGTTCAGTTTCCAGAACCCCTGTCAGGTGGGGAAATTGCCTGTGATTCCAGAACCAGGGGATCCAGCACTCCCTTCCAGTCTTCATGGACACTTTAACTCATATACACACACACATACACATATTTAAATAAATATAAATTATGTTTCTTAAACAATGTAGGACATACAGGGAAGGTAGAGACTTATAAAAAGTTCACATCTGGGCATGTACAGGCCTATCCACTCTTAAAATTCCAGAAATTGTGATTAATGGCCCAAGACCATTCAAAGGAAAAGATCCATCAGCATTCCACCATGGAGAATGGAAGGGTTCATGTGGTTCCATCTCTCCCTTACTTCAGCAGTGTAGAGAGTGACAGGTCCTCTATGTTCCTGCAATGTATGTTCTCTTGTAATCAGCACTTACTAAATTCCCTGAATCACCAAATATTTGAAAGACATTAGAGTAGAAGGAAAAAGAATTTAAGAGAGGGAGAGGAACAGTAAGAGTGTGAGACAAGACTAGGTAATAGGATGTGAATAGAAGCAAAATACATATATATGTATATATATACATAGATATGTATGTATTATATACCCATGTTAGCATGTATTCTATTGATTGCAATAATGTCATAATAACACTTGTAATACACACATATATGAAATAACAAAGACATAAAGATAAAAATTACTATCATTACTGATGTGCACCTACCCACATACTGATGCACACACACACACACACACACACACACATAATTTTAAAATTAAAACTTAATCTTCTAAAAATAAATAAATGATAGAAGATTCAACACAGTGTTGCTGTGTACTTTAAGCTCAGCACATAGGATAAAGAGGCAGGTAGATATCTATGAGGTGAACATCAGCCTGGACTAAATATTGAGTTCCACGACCGGCAGAGATACTTTTGAGGCAATGTTTGAGAACAAATCAGTAAGCCTTCATTATAAAAGTTCTAGAGAGAATAGGAATGAAAAAAAACATACATCAAATAAAATAAAAAATAAACATCAAAATCATTAATGCTCTATATTATAAACCCACAGCCAACATTATCCTCAATGGACTAAAACTCAAGTAATACCAATAAATTAAATTAAAATCAAGAATGAGACAGGGCTTTCTATTCTCCCTGATCTTTTTCAATAAAATCCTCAAAGTGCTAGCTAGAGCAGAACAGCAAGAAGAGAAAATTATAGAAAGAGAAAAAATCAAACAATCCTTATGCAGACTATATATATATATATATATAATTCCACCAGAAAAAAAGTGTTGAAATGACGAACAATTTCAATAAAGATGCAGGAAAAAGTAAAGTCAGCTTACAAAAATCAGTAGCCTTTATGTACACCAGCAGGTTGAGAAGTATATTATGGACACATTGCCACTTACAATACCTTCATAGTATGTAATAGACCTTGAAATAAACCTAATAAAACAGGGGAAAGAGCCCTACAGTGAAAGCTTTAAATCTCAGAAGAAAGAGATTGAGACACTATAAGATGGAAATACATCCTTTGATTCTGGACTGGTAGAACTGGCATTGTGAAAATGATGATTCTACTGAAAGCAATTTACAAATTCAAGGCAACTCCAAGAAAATCACCACAACAAAAAATCCTAAAATCAATATGGAATCAGACAAGATTCTGGATAGCCACATAAATCCTTAATAATAAGAACAATGCAGGAATAATTATCACTCCAGATTTCAAAATATGTTCTACAGCAGTATTAATAAACATAGTATCTTGCTGGTGCAAAAACAAATATAAATATCAATGGAAGAAAACAAAAGACTCAAACATGAGTACACATGATTACAGCCACCTGATATCTGACAAAGATTCAAAAATACACACTGGAGAAAAGACAGAATCTTAAAAAATATGCTACGAAACAAAGAGATCCCCACATACAACAATGAACTAGACCCATATCTATCACTTTACAAAAACTAACTACAAATGGATCAAAGACCTCAGTGTAAAATCTGAAATGCTAGATATTCAAGAAAAATACTGAAGCAGCATCCTAAAAAATACAGGTGTAATAAAGGACTTCAAATATTGGACTCCATTTGTCTGGAAATTAGGGTAAAAATTGGCAAATATTGCCTCATAAAATTAAAAGTTTGTACAGAGAAGGAAGTTGTCAATTGAGTGAAGGTGAACACTACAAAATGAGAATCTCTACCAGCTATACATCTGATAAAGGCTTAATGTCTAAATCTATAAGGTACCCAAAAAAAAGACTCATAAAACAAGCAACTCATTTTAAAAAATGAGATATGAATGAAGGGCATAGTGTCTCACACATTTAATAGCAGCACTCCAGCAGCAGAGGAAGATGGATCTCTCTGATTTTAAGAACAGTCTGGTCTACATAGTGAGTTCTAGGACAATCAGGGCTATGTAGAGAGATTCTGTCTCAAAGGGGGGACCGGGTAATGGAGTTGAACAAAATCCTCACAAGAAGAAATAAAAATGTCTAAGAAATATAAACTGATTGTTCATTACCCATAGAAATTAGATAAATAAAAATTAGAACAACATTGATATTTCATCCTACTCATCTGAGAATGGCGAAAATCAAGAAAACCAACAACAACAAAATGCTGGTGAGGACATAGGAAAATGGAATCATAATTCACTGGTAGTGTGATTGCAAACTAGTGCAATCTGAAAATCATAGACAATTCGTCAAAAAACTAGAAATAAATTTACCACATAATGCAGCTATACCACTTCTTGTCACTTCTTCAAACAGACAACATCCTATTCCACAGATGTTTTGCAGACATGCTCATTGATGGTCTGTTCAAAATTATTAGGTAATGGAAACAACCTAAATATCCTTCAACTAATAGATAGTGAATAGTTAATGAAAAGGCAATATATATATATATATACATATACATATATATATATACATACACAATAGAATATTATTTAGCTGTAAAGAAAATTGAAACCATGCAGTAAATGAGTGGAACCAGAAAATATTATATTGAGTGAGATAACCTACACCCACAAAAGAAAACACCCCATGTTATTTGATACATTTGGATCCTAGCCCTCAATTTCCAGATGTGTGTAAAAACCAGAGTGTTCACAGAAAGGAGGAAACTAAAATGGGAATATGGCAAGGGGGACCCAGAGAGAGAAATAGCAGGACACAGGTAATATGAAGGAGAAATGGGATTAATGGGAGGGACTTTTAACTAAAGAAGGAAGAAGGAAAATATAGAAGGAGGGGAAGAGGGAATGATGAATAACACTATGTATGGTTGAATGACACAGGGATTCAATATTTTATATTATCTAAATAGAATTGAGTTGGGAACAGGGAGAGATGAGCGGGAATAAACAAATAATATATTTGTATTTTAATGAAAAAATTATAAAAGTACCATTCTAAGCTGTTTATAAAAGGAGGTATATAAATGTGGATAAATTTTCTTAGCTCTGTCATCAGACCAAACTGAGTTTCAATGCAACCACTGACACTTACTAATAAAGCTTAAACACACTGCCTAATAAAATAAAAAATAAACTGCCTAGGAAAAACTGAAGGAGAAAGGAAAACACCAACTCTAACCTTATTATGATTACCAAGCTTCCTTAGGGACTATGGGGTGACAAGAGTATAAGGAGACAGAAACAGCCAGTCTTTGCCCTGAGACAGCAGAACTGCTAAAATGAACTACTGACTTCTGCTCTGTGACCCTGCTTGTCCATTACCTGTGACCAGGGTCACATCTGCTCTTCCCCCTTGAGAAGTGGCCATCATGAGTACTCACTTAGACAGCAAGTTTCGGTCTCTTAAACAATGGTTGTGAACCAATGAAAGAAGTATTTTGTTTATCTCTGAGTGCTAAGAATTTCTCCTTGGGAAAGGTTGAAGCCCCCACCTGAACAAAACAGCGTGAGGACTCATAGCATGCCTTGTATATTGTTGGCAAATTATGGTGAATCCATAAGAATTTCATAATAAAATGTTTGTTCATTTTGTGGTACTAGATACTGAACTCTGGTCCAGGATAATCTACCACTGGGCAATATCTCTAACCTCTCATAATACTTTTTTTGTTTGTTTTTGCTTTTTAAGATGGAGTTCCTCTGTGTAGCTCTAGCTGTCTTGGAACTTGATTTGTAGAACAAGTTAGGCTCAAACTCACAGGGATCCACACGCCTCTGCCTCCTTAATGCTGTGAGTAAAAGTATGCAGCAACACAGCCTGGCTAATTTTTTTTCTGAAAGATGCATGTGTTCATATACCTGGAGTACAACCTAGGCCCCCTGAGTGAAAACCAGGAATTCTAACTGCTAGACTATGTGGGAGAATAATAAAATTTTTAAATGAAGACTCACATTTTAATTTTTTTATTTTTGAGATTATAATGTAATTGCACGTTTCTCCCTTTCAAATACTTCCATATACACCTTTCTTCTCTTTTTCATATTCATACCTGGTTGTTGAAATAATTGTTATCAAATACATGTATGCAAATTTATGTACATACACATAACATATTCCTATATATAACATGTTTGATTTGTATAATCCTCACATATTTAAAAGAATACCTACCTGTCGATTTGTGAAGCTAGAATAAAATTCTTTCACTAGCACATTCTTGATCATATCTGGTTTTGTGATAATCAGCACAGGGACCAGCCCATTATATATCCTGTATTGGGAAAACAGAGATGATTACATTTTGATCCTGATATTACCTCTGGTTCTATAATATATGCTTCTGTGAACTGAACCTTGGTCTTCTGTAAGAACAGCAAGTGTTTATTCACTGCTACTCTACTGCCCCTAAGGACAAATTATTAACAACTGAAATCAATAATGTTTCAAGAAATTTTTCCTTGGGGCCATTAGAAATGCAGCACAGCATTCCCATGGCCTTGGGTCACAAGGCTACAGGAGCTCAACAGATCTTGTGATTATTACTGTGGTTTCTGGTGATGGATGAGAAGAGAGGAAGAGGCAGAACCTCTTTCCCATGGCTTGTGGCACATAGCATAGTGACGTCACTTCTTCTGAGACTCTAGACAAATTCCCAGTTAGCTCAACTATCACACAAAATAATTAATGAAACAAACTTAGAAGTCAACAGTATGGTATGACACAACCATCACCTTTTCTTCAAAGTGAGTAGTATGTGTTGAGAGGAAATAACCATATACAATTCTGCTAAAAAGTCAATGCCTTGTATAAAATGTAACAAGAATTGAAAAGTAAAAGGAAATTCAACAAAGTTTGGAATCACAGAACTCTAAGACCAGTAGTCAGGAGGCAGATATGGAAGACAGAGACTTCTAGGCCAATATGGACTCATAGCGACTTCCAGACCAACGTCAGATATATGGAAACCTGGACTCAAAAAAATAAACAACAGGGCAAGGCCCAGGATGACTCAAACCTATAGAAAGAAATACAGGTAGGTAAGGATTACTAAAAATGAGAGCAATGATCATCCCCAGGGAAGAGCACACAAACTGATTACCCAATTTCATATGATCAGCCCTGAAAGCATACATACAAAAAACACTATGCAGAATGAATAGGTCATACATACGAATATAAATGCACTTATGTATACATATAGTCATGTGTAGCATGAATCTTAAAAGTTCTTATTAATAAAATCAAACCTGAGGCCAGTTATTGGGGTGAATGCTGGAAGATCATAGAGACAGAACAGGCCACAGCTACTTCACCTCGCCAATTCCTCAGCTGATCCTGTTTCCTCAGACTGGAAGCTTCTGAGTCCTCATTCAAATGGATCTCAGCTGAACTGTGCTGCTCCAAAGCCTAAAAGCTTAACCAGCCAAATGCTTCTAGTTTCTGGTCCTCATGCCTTATATACCTTTCTGCTTTCTGCCATCACTCCCTGGGATTAAAGGCTCGCTTTCTAGGATTAAAGGCATGAGTCACCATGCTTGGCTTGAATACCTGGATTTCTGCCTCTGGAATGCTAGGATTAAAGGTGTCAGTGCCACCATTTTCTAGTCTTTATATCTCATGGCTGTTCTGTCTCTGACTCCAGATAAGTTTATTAGGGTGCACAATATTTTGGGGAACACAATACCACCACATTTAAACAATTAGTGAAATCCAGAGGATGTATTTGAAGGAGGAAGGGAAAGGAGAAAAGATGCAATTATATTATAACCTCAATCAAAAAATGAAGTAATAAAAATAAAAAACATACTTTATACACACATTAAATTAAACAAAAATAATAACTACAAATATGCTTATTTTCCCCTTAGCCTATATTTGAAAAGTTCACATTTACTGGAAATATCTTTTTTATAAAATTACTTTTGCTTTTATCTAAATGTAAATCAATATGGACTGGGTCATTCTTCTGAATTTATGAGCACATATTACATATATCTGAATTAATGCATATTTCACAATTTTTAAAAATCTCAAGGAAGAATAAATAGAGGCAGGAATCCTTATAAGACACTGGATTTAAGTAAGGCTAGGTGTATCTGTAACATCAAAGGATGGAGACAAATCATTACCTGCAATGTCCTCATCTTAATTCAGACTGTGGGCAACAACTTTTATATGGAACCCTAGGCAGGACAGGCTTTCAGATACTTTAAAACAGGCAACTGTGACCCAATTAACTATGGACTAAAAAGGTTCTCCAATTCAGTTTGGTGTCACATCATAACAAATGTATATATTGGACAATTGCAGAATACTCACCCCCATATATCTCCATACTTTTTATGGCATTCTATATCGTATTGTGATATGCCCTGGGAAAAGAAAAGAAAATGAAAAGTCATTATTTTTCTACCTGTATTGGCCACTAAATGGGAAACAAATGACTAAAACCCCAGGACATCAGGCTCATTATTTAATTTTCCTACCAAGCAATTAGAAGAAATCCTTCCACATTCTCTAAGAGAAAAAAGAAAATAAAGGAGACACTTGACACAGGGAATTTAGTTATTCATGATTTCATTTCTGTATATTGTACATTCCAAAATTGTACTTCTTTATTAAAAGTAGCAACTGTCTTTTTCTTTGGTAGCTCTTTGCTTTTGTTTTGACTCTGAAATCCTGAAACACTCTTGTCTTTTCCCATTCCTTGGGTGCCTGAGGGCACCAAGAGTCAGAGAGATTGCCATGACTGTGCAAAATCTATTTGCTTCTCACTGCTCACTGCCCCTTTCACTCACTTGATGACTTTTCCAGGATTCAGTATAGTCAGTAAGTTGAAGACAACATTGATATATATATATATATATATATATATATATATATATATATATATATATATATATAGCATATTAGATTTATATAATTGTCTTTCATAATATTAAATGAAAAGGAACAAGGAAGTAGAGGCAAATGATTTTGCTTCTAGTGTCCCTGTTCATTATGGAAAGATGAGGATATGCTGCCTCACATAAAGAAAACATATGAGTTAATGTTTGGTTTGAACTTTCACTTTGGAACCTTAGGGAAAAAATCCATGTAATCAATAAGTGGCAATTGTATTTTTGGTGGATAGAATCCTAAAAACTCATCTTGGACCCAAAATCTCTTTGTATCTAAACTGACCTTGAAATGCTGATCCTTCTGAGTGTAGTAATTACAAGTGTGTGCCCCCATGTCCAGTTTTTATGATGCTGGGTTCAAGCCCAGGGATTTGTCCATTCTAGGCAAGCATTCTACAGAAGGGAATTCCATATTCAGCGACTATGAATGTCAACTATGCAAAACTATGTCTCCAGGCAGGAGCCTAGTGTGTAGAGCCTAGTATTTAGAGCCAGACTGATCCAAGGTATTCTCTGAGATCCTAATGAAATTACAAAGGGAACATTACTTCTGGGTCCCTGTCCATGAAATGAGTTGGCAAGAACCAATCTAGGGCTAGAGTCAGCTCCTCAAAAGAGTGAAGGTTGTAGTTTCTTAGAGATTTGAATTTCTCCTGGTCTGTGCTTCAGTCCTAAGCATCTGTGACTGAGGTATGGATACCTGTGTTCTTTTTGCCAGCCTTTTATGATTTAAGTGTGTGCTAGACTTGGCCATTTCCCTTTTACATATACCATGTAGGAAGCTTTCTGCTTAATACTCTTCTGATATAACTCATTATTTTAGGCAAGACCTCCTGGTGATAGCTACATGTCTTCTTTATTTGTCATACGTGGTCTCATCACCTTGACCACTGGGATCATTCCTTCCGGTTCATGTAATGTGGTGCTCTATGCAGGTACTGAGATTACTAGAAATCATCAAGAATGAGTACAAAAGAGTCAGACGTGGGGCCTGTAAGAAAGAAAGGGTGGAGGAATAGCTGAGAGTAACATAGGAGGAAAAGATTCTAAAGAACAATCTCTTTTTATTCATATGCTTCTAATTTGTCATGTATCACTATGGTACTTTGATAAATTCTTTACTTTCATTTAAAAATATACCCTTGGTTTACTGTATAAGGTTCTGTAAATTTAAAGACATGGGAACATGTAGGTGGAAGTTTAAAGACAGAATATCACATATGAGCCCCACATGCATTTCCTGTTTTGGGTTTGCACTGTCAAATTTTATACATGATTTGTTATATCTACAGCTTGAATATGATTCATTTGTAATTCAACACCCTTGTAGATGTAGCCAAAATATGCCAAAAGAAACTGGGTGACACAAGATAAAAATAACATGCCCAAAATAGAGATATAAGGCCCTGAGGACCAGGAGGTAGCTTAATTTCTTGAATTACTTTTACTTCATGATACCTCAGAGGATGAGAAGAAACTTCCTTTTTGCTGGTGAAGTTATAAAATTGCCTGAATGGGCTCCTACTTGTTTAACTGAGTCAAACCCCATCCTCCTCAGGACTCTCCTCATTTTCCTTTTAGACTTCCTTCCTCTAGTTTTCAGATACTTACAATGAAAGATAAATGAAGATGCTACTTCATAGTATGGCCAAGAGCCCCAACTTGTGTCAACAATTTATTGCTCAAATCTTACTCCCAGTTAGAAAAAAGTACCCTTCTCTCATGATTATTTATTACTTAGGGGATTTCAGTACCTCTTGAAAATCTAATTATTCAATTATTTCTCACCATCCACCATCACTTTGAACAGACTCAGCTGGAAATTTCCTTGGAGAAATCACAGATTATACCTCCCTTTTCTTATTTAGATCATATTACAGAGGACAGTATCATTTGCCCTCAAAGATTGGCAGGGAACTACTAACATTTATTGGTTTTCAAAAGATCTTAGGAAATATGAATTGGCTTAGACCTTCCCTGAAACATACTACAAAAGATTTGACTCTCTATTTTTTCATATTAAGAGGAGATAATGACCCCTCTTCTAGAAAGCTTATTCCTGAGGGTCAAACACATTATAATTGTTACACTGAATCATCACTCATGCAACAGTTGACAAGTATTGGCACAAAGCTTGTTCTATCTTCTATATTATTAGCTACTCCAGCATATCCTTCTGGCCAACTCTTGCAACCTAGGCTACCTATAGAATGGATTTTTCTGCATATTGCTGCTGGCTGTTCCTTGACTTCTTATTTTAAAATCCTTGCTTAGCTTATTTAGAAAACAGGTGTCCTCAAGCCCATCAATGTATTGCATGATAAATTGATTTGATAGTTCACCCCTTCACCTCTTCACAACTTGATTCACTTTGGGCCTTCACTGACTCTTGACAGGTAGCTCTCTTTGAACTTATTTGCCAGCTTGGTACTTTGTATCCTGCCGATCCTTTAATTCAAATTTTCCAATACTACTTTATAGGAGGTACACAATCCCAGAAACAGATAATGTGTTCCTAGATGAGAGACTTCTGCGGTGCCTAATGTTATACTTCAAGAAGTAACTCCTTATATATTGAATGTTTCAGCTAAGTCTTCTCAGAATATAGATTATTTTTGCATTCCCTCAACCTCTAAACACTTACTTTGACAGTTTATATTTCATGTAAGTTGTTTAAATACTTCCTGGTGCTCTTATTAAACAGACTGAGGATGAAGAAATGTTTCACTTGTTTCAGCATGCCCAAAAAGAGTTATAACCAGTAGGCTCCTTAATTTCTCCAATACTTTCCAGCTGTAGATCTAGCTTCCCATTATTCTATTCAGATGGTTGTTAAATCTGCTTTGTTTAAGCAAGTTATTGTCTCATGTAAATCACCATCATTACTGTGCTATGCCTAGTCCCAATTACAGTTATCTAGAAATCGAGTATGACAAATTGTCTCAGATTGTCCTGCTTATCTGCCTTCTCCTTGTAATGGTGTAAATCTCAAAGGCTTACTACCTTATGGCAGATGGATGTTGCTGGCATTTCAATTTTTGTCAGCCTAAAATATATTCATGTTAGTATGACATTTATTCTGGGGTCGTCCTCATGACTATCCTATTAACTGGAAAAGCTGGTAAGCACTGGATTACTCATTGCCAGTGAACATTTTCTATAGCTATGTGGTGATATTGTGTTCCCCCAAATATTGTGCATCCTAATAAACTTATCTGGGGTCAGAGAACAGAACAGCCACTAGATACAGAGGCCAGAAAATGGTGGCACTCACACCTTTAATCCCAGCATTCTGAAGGCAGAGATCCATCTGGATCTCTGTGAGTTTAAAGTCACACTGGAAACAGCCAGGCATGGTGACTCACACCTTTAATCCCAGGAAGTGAGCCTTTAATCCCAGGAAGTGATGGCAGAAAGCAGAAAGGTATATAAGGCATGAGGACCAAAAACTAGAGCTGGTTAAGCTTTTAGGCTTTGAGCAGCACAGTTCAGCTAAGATCCATTTGATTGAGGACTCAGAAGCTTCCAGTAAGGAAACAGGATCAGCTGAGGAATTGGCAAGTGGAGGTGGCTGTGGTTTTTTCTGCTTCTCTGATCTTCCAGCATTCACCCCAATACCGGGCTTCAAGTTTGATTTTATTAATAAGACCTGTTAAGATTCCTGCTACATAGCTGAACCTCCAAAAGTGCTTTAAAATAACAGTTGATGCTCCAGCACAGAATTCTGATGCCTTTAATAAATTTTGTGCTACATTATGTATTATACATAAAACCGGCCTCTCTTATATTCATTCACACATGGGTCTCCTATAGTTTTGCTTGAAAAAATTAAAATTGGGAGTATATATACCTTTTTACTTCTAAAAATCTTCTTAATAGTACTTTAATTTAATATGTTTTGAGAACATATTAAAGAGAGCAACAAGGATTAATTGGAGCCAGACGTTTTTGATTCGACATGCTCCAGAAGGAGAGATTTTGTGAAAAGTTCCTGCTATAGGGAAATGGTGTGATCCTGACCTTGTGCTCATGTAGAGGAGAGGATGTGTGTATTTTCCTACAGGAAACTGATGGATCACACTGGCTCCCAAAACACCTTGTCCCACATTCCCAGGCTATGAAGGCATCTGCTGTGTTACAGGTGACAGAAGCTAAGGATGCAGATGATGATGAGTTTGAAGGCAGCATGCAGTTCGGTACACCACTTGCAATCCACTTGGCAGGGTCCACTCCCAACTTGGGACAGATTAAATGTCTCACAGCAGAAGGAATTTCAGTGGTCAAGGAGACATGGAAGCCTGTGATTCACACTCTATTTATTTTAACAATTCTGGCATTACTCTCTGCCACATGTGGAAAGTATAGAAGTCTACCTGGCCTGCATAGCTTACACTCCCTTTGGCTTGTCCAATCTGCCTACTAGAATATTTACTAATGATATGCTTGTTTATTTTACAATGCTGATGTTTCACATGTGGTGCCTAGTAGTACTCACTTTAACTATATTGGTATATCATAAATTATTCCTATTAGTTTGTCATTGATGGGACAGTATAACTATGTTCTTCTCATGTGAGTGACTGCTCAAGGGTCCACATGGAATGAAAGATCTGCATCAAAAAATCATTCATCCTTCTGATCTCCCATCAGTTACCCCATTGGATGGGCATATCCCAGAATTCAGTGATTTTCCTGTGCCCTGTTGCAGAATTAAATTCTCCTTGAGTGGCTTGCTCCATGATTCTAAAGTACTTCTTGCCTCTGAATAGATGATCTGAGGTGCTGGTTGTCTTGTCTTAGTGGTGCCCACCTGGTCTGGATGAGTATAAATCCTAAAATCCACTCATTGGCAACTTCCTGTTTATACTATCTTTAGAGGAAAAGGACATTAGGTTTTGAGCCACCATCCCAGATAATGGGATGACATGTGATTTTTTGAGAAGATGACCAACCATGGCATATCATTTCATATTTGACCACACTTATTGTGTTAAAACTTCATATATGTAACTGACTCAGAGTCCCTCTATTAAATAAAGGGGAGGACACTTCTAAATTGCATGTGTTACTTGTATCCTCACTAGTTGTACAGATGCCTTTCTTCATGGAGCCTTTTTTTATTTTAACTGTCTTGCTTTGCTATGGTTCCTGTGCAACCTAATGATACTTAAATACAGTGACTTTGGACAACACATTCTCTTTGAACTATATCAGGATTTTATTAAAAATATATTTCTGGATTTTATTTTAACTATAATTTTTGCGGGACTTACAGCTCTCCAGTCAGAGGCTGCTTCCACAGTGGTCCTGGCCGAACAAGCGCAAACTGCGCATTTTGTTAAACAGATTACTTACAATACTTCTGTAGCTTAGATAAACATAGATAACAACTAGAAGCTAAGTTAAATGCTCTGAAAGTTTGTGTATTGAGCCTGGGAGATACAGTTAAAGCAATACAATTTTAATTATCTTTACAGTATCCTGCTGGATTTAGATACATTTGTTTTGCTCCTTTAAATTATGATAAATGTGAATGGAAATGGGAGAAAATTAAAAATCATTTTCATGTAATATGACAACATCAGAATGTTATTTTAGATTTTGTAACCCTCAAGCAAATAGTTACTGGCATGTGCCATGCTCATTACACATTCAATTCCCCTTTGGAGCCAGCCAAAGATTTATTACACAAATTGCCAGATGTAATCTCCTTAACACTGTTAAACATTTGTTCACTATTATCCTCAGATTACTTATGTTGATAATTCATCTTATAATATTAGGAGTCATTTTCTGGTTTAAAGCATATTTTAGGCTCTTAAATATTTAGACACAAATGACTCATCTGGCCCTAAAAAGAAAAAAGGCAGGGGGTTCCTTTTGAAACAGACTAACTCAAAGTTTTCTCCCACACCATTGTTAAAGAACAAAAGGCTTTACAGTTCTGTGACGTTCCAGAAACAGATTTGACAAGTTCCTCTCTGGGTCTGGGGTCAGGGCCTCTAAGAAGTGTTGGTTGTAGGCTATGTGGATCCTAATCATTTCCCTGGGTTGTGGTTATCAGTCATAAGGCAACTGTGTCTGAGGTATCCTAGGTTCTCTTTGCCAACATTGTCTGACTTAGCTCTCAGCTGACCTTGGCCATTTCCTCATGCAAATAGTAAGTAGGTAAGGATCTATGCTGATTAATAAACTTACTTGGTGTAAGTCATCAGGTATCTGTCTTTTTTATTTTTTTTCCCTTGGTCCTCCATCACAAAACCTCACCTTTTGTAACTCTTATTCTTGCAGCTTTGGGTCATCATAGTATAATCACACCCCTATTGGTACCTGGTCACCTATAAATAAGATATCATGGTATACCCAAGCACTGAGTAAGATTAATCTGTGGTCAAAATTCTGAACAGCAAATTTGAGACTAATTTTTTCTACAGGAGACACTATTTGAAAGAAACTAACAAACTAAAACCCAAGAAGTGTATTTCAAAGACTACATAAAAAGAGGTCATCCAAAAATGATAAGGAAGTTATTGCTTTTTCAACTGGGAGCAAAGCATGGTATTCTTAGGAACTTATGCAACAGAATCCTTGGTTTTGAAGAATTATGATCTAATAATTAAACCTTGAGAATTCAGAGAAGCAAATCTTGCAAGAGTGCAGTCTTCATGTAGGTACTGATTCTGGTCATGAACTCAGGAAGGATAGGCCAAGAGTCCAACCTTTAGAAAGCATTCAGAAGCCGGGCGGTGGTGGCGCACGCCTTTAGTCCCAGCACTCGGGAGGCAGAGGCAGGCGGATCTTTGTGAGTTCGAGGCCAGCCTGGTCTACAGAGTGAGATCCAGGAAAGGCGCAAAGCTACACAGAGAAACCCTGTCTCGAAAAAAAAAAAAGCATTCAGAAAGGCCCTGTGTAAATTCACTGTCCCTATTATATAGGTACATGTATATGTATATTATGAAATTATAAATATATATATATACATATATGTATATATATATATTATATCCACACGCTACATGTATATTTTTTACAGTTTTGTCAACTCAAGCTTTTATCAGTGATTTTGTATAAATAATTCTGCTTCTGTTTCAAGAAACAAAACTCACAGTCTGGTTAAATATCCAGGTTTATAGGCAACATCACCTAGTCTCCCATATTCCTGCTCTTCAGTCTCATGCATAGGTTTGTACCTTGAAGTGAAAAGGAGTAAAGGCAAATCTTCTTGTAAGTGGCAAAAGCTTGGCTAGAGTTTTGGAAGTAATAATGGAATTAAACAGTTCAATTGAGGATTCAAGTATGTGCATATTCCCCAAAAGTAACTATCTGCTTCCTGGTAGGCATGTTCCAGAGATACACAGCAAGGAGTGTAAATATTATTACTGAACTTAGATTTGAATAAATCACTCGGGTTGATGAGGTGCTACACAGTGGCCTTACATGTATTACTTTAAATACTAATTAAGAATAACTGTACTTTTCTGGAATCTGTACTAAAAAGGAAACGAAATCTTTGATGCTCTCAAAGTCTAAACACCAGCATTTAACTTCAGGTCCTAGTGTGCTAACAGCCAGGGTCCTCACCTGCCCTGACACAAACCTGAAGTCACACATCACCTGCCGCAAACCTGAGGTCACAAACACATGTTAGTCAAACCCAAGGGTAACCTGGCAATGATGTGGGTGTGACAAAAACAATTCTGCCAGCTGAAAGTCTTACAATTGATCCCAATGTCCGTTAGAATGGATCAAATGACAAGGGGGTTAATATTTGTGTAAGTGACACTGTCACAGAAGCAAAGTAGGGAACCCAACAGCACTCACCATCTTATAGTTAAGCATCGTACCAACAAAAGGCAAAGGTTTGGGGCCAGGAATCCCCAGCTTCTTAAAAAGTCCATGAGAAGAGGTTCCATACCTAAAACATGGAGGAGAAAGTCAGTCGGATCATGGGCTTGTTAACCATACATGTAAATATTCATAATCATACACACACATAAGTAAACACATTCCCACAATCTATATAAAAATATACATATTTATACACTATATAAAAATATACACATATATACACTAACTCATGTATATTATTGACTCAATTTGTATTATATGAGTAGATATGCATGTATATGTGAGTATATATATATGATATATGTAAGTGATATATATATATATATTTTCTTGGAGGCAAATATTGAGAATTACCAGAATTTATTCAGTGATGTACCACCGGGCAGAATATAACATAAAAATTCAGAGAACTAAACTCCTTCATATAGCATCTTACTATAAACTTTTAGGTTAACACTTGATGGTCCCAGTCTTAGAGCTAATATGTAATAATACATTACAAACTTGAGTTTGAATGTTACTGAAGGACTCACTAGACTTAGGAAGTCATCACACATTATCAGTGTGAGTAACCTGCAATGCAAGATCCACATGATCCATTCTCAACATTATGTAAGCAGTGGAGAGAGGTTACTCAGAGCGGGAGGAGAGCCCACCAGCAGAGCCCCATGACAAGACAATCTACCTTTCCTGTCCCTCAGACTGAAAAGTGTGCAGAGCTTCCCAGGTGCAGTTTTTGGGCTGGGAAGATCACTCATCAGGTAAGAGCATTTTCTGCTCTTTCAGACTACCCAGGTTGGTTTCCTAGACCCCACATGACAGCTAACAACAGCTTATAATTCCAGTCCCTGAGAATCCAATGACTTGTTTTAATTTACATGGACATCATGCATAAATGTGATACATATGTTCATGCAAAACATTCATAGGGGCAATATAAAAATTTATTTTTAAGCCGGGTGGTGGTGGCGCAAGCCTTTAGTCCCAGCACTCGGGAGGCAGAGGCAGGTGGATCTCTGTGAGTTCGAGGCCAGCCTGGTCTACAAAGTGAGTTCCAGGAAAGGCGTAAAACTACACAGAGAAACCCTGTCTCAAAAAATCAAAAAAAAATCTATTTTTAAGATACCAATTTTGGGAGTCCTCAGTTCAGGTGTGGAGTTTTGATGCTGCATTTGCCTTTGAACCATTCATGCTCCTGCAAGTAACTTTTCAAACACATTGCTGTATTAACCTTATAAACTCATGTCTCTCCAGGGTAGACTTTGGAGGAATGGCTACATTCGTTTGACAGTTGTGCCCTACTGAGGTCAAAGGATATTTGCTCCCATATTTCCCAGAAAATGCAAAGTACTCAATGAGTTATCCAAATGAACTCATGAGGCCATGAACTACAAAAAGCATAATCTCTCCATTCTGTTTCTTCCTAGACCCTAGATGGCACAAAGGCAGTTTTCTGTACTTAGATGATCAGCCACAGGCACTTAGTTTACTGTCAGTAATACAATAATTTCTTGACAATACTCTCTGGACAGACAGGCCTGAGTCTAAGTAACATCTCAGGTGTCATTTCCCTCACTGTGGGTTCAATATTCTACACACATTCCTATCCCCATGTGACAAACTAATGACAGAAAACAAACAAGAGAAACAGCAGACTGTAATCATTTTAATCCCACTCCAGATTGTCTCTCAATGTTGGATTTTTAACTTTACTTGAAGACACTTGGCTGAAAAGCACAGTGAATTAAATTATTTAGGTTACAGGAGAAATGTGTTCAGCTGTGGGAGTATGAATTTCCATTGGATTATACCTTTTGATTTTCTGACAGGGAAAAGGGACCTGAGAATTATTCACCTCTGAGCCCACAAAAGAGAGACATCTAATCAATTACTCACAGGTAGAGGAGCACCAGGATGGTAGCCAGCAGTGCCCATGTTTCTGTGGAAAAGTTTGGAATCAGGTCCATTGCTCTTTTCCTTCAAGAAATCTCTCTTTTCCTGGTAGGTGAGGACCTGAATTCTCCTTCTGAGTTCAGGTGTGAATCTATGAAGACACTGTGCAGTATTTATGTGCTAGGAAAGGGGGTGGAGTAGTCACTAGTGCCAATAGAAAGATCAACATTGTATCTTCCATGGGTATGGAGAACATGAGTGACATCTTCAGTTGACAGTTCATGATAGTTCATGTTAACCCACATTTTGACTTCTTTTTAGTTCTTTTCCCTAGAAAATTAATAAATAACTAAACCAATGTTCTTGGTAAGACCAGAGGTCATAGATTTTTGTCAGAAATGCATCAGAGTGATCAACATTAAATGTCCTTTGATATTTATGGGGCTGTCTATATTGCAAAACACATTGAATCTTTGCACACCAGCTCCTTTTATAAATATTTACACATGCATATTTCTCTCTGTGGATCCCTGTTTTTACCCTAGAAGATGAATGATCACATTTAATAAAAAAATTGACAAAAAATAAATAAATCACATCATCCCAAGATAGACTAAATTTTCCCTTATATTTTCTTTATTGTCACTTTTTCAGTACTCATGGTTTCTGTATATACTTCCCTCATACTTTGTTATTTATTATTAATGGGCATTGCTCACTATTATTTTCCTACTTCCCATGTCAGTTAAATGTGTTAATAAACACCCATAGATGCCAAGACGTGTTAGTGTTACAAACCCAAGCTTTAATTCTTCACTTCTTGCTCTGGGCCTTCCCTCTCTCTGTAGCATGTGATGGTTTATTGGTCATCTGTACCTGTGAATCTGTGTATACCTACTGCTTCTTTTTGTGTCCCTAACAAAGGACATAGCTCTGTATTTATTGGACAGTACAGAAAGAATGGCATAGACAGTGGATGAGGTATTCTTTACAGAAATCTTCAACAGAGTTTTATTGAGGGAGGAAATAATTTACTGATCCCAACAAACACTGAAACACTCAGAATACCAAAAAAGAATGGTAAGCATATACTACCATGCTGTAGCTGTATGTTATTTGCAAAATTAATGGTGGGTATTTATTTATAGAGTTGCTTCCAACCTATGGACTGCTTTCAGCAAATGATTACCACAACATACCCATGCATTACTCTGAGTCAGGGGCATGGAAGGATATATAATTTAAGATTAAAATTGGGCATTAGCTTAGATTGTAAAAGCTTATTACATGGTCAATCAAAGATAGTGAAGTTGTTTGTGACATTGTTGTCTTAAAGGTGGATTAATCAAAACAGAATATATAGTAGGGTATCAGCATACATCTTAAGTGATGTCAAGGTACATTATTAAATTAACTATCATGTCAAGAAAAAGTTCAATCTCTATGAAGGTAAGAGACCATACGACTGTAAAGTATCTAATATTGTCTCAATACATAGACCATATCAGAATGGACATCCAAATTGTTTGGTTGAGTTGAAGAGGCTGAGTAGTTCACAAATGTCTTCCTTATGGTTTACTAGAGGTTATGCTCTATGTGGATGACCTAATGGAGGGGCTCATGGACACTGCATGCACGCTTAGCCAATACCTGCTATATAAATATGTTTGACATCTATCACTCTATAGAGGTTGACACTGTCTCTTGTGACCTGAATAACAATCTTGATAAGAGAGTTCCCACAAGTGAATTTTTAAGAAACACAAAGGAGAGGTTGGAGAGATGACTCCATGGTTAAGAAGTCTCGGTGCTCTTGCAGAGGAGGCAGTTAGGTTCCCAGCACCTACATGGTGGCTATGTAGGTTTGAGTAGGAATGGTCCCCAAAATCATCATATATTTGGATGTTTGGTCATTAGGAAGTGTGACTACTTGAGAGGGATTAGGAGGTGTGACCTTATTGGACATATTTGTCACAGAGTGTAGGCTTTGGTGTTCCAGAAGGTCAAGCCAGGGCCTGTGAATCTCTCTTCTTGATGTCTATAAATTAGGATGTAGAGCTCTCAGCTACCATGTCTGCTTGCATGCCTCCGTGCTTCCCAGCATGATGATAATGAACTAAACCTCTGAAACTGTAAACAGTTACTGATGAAATGCTTTCCTTTGTAAGTATTGCTGTGGTTGTGGTGCCTCTTCACTGCACTAGTACATTAATTATGACACTGACTCACAACCATCTCTAACACCAGGTGCAGTGGATTTGACAGTAGGATCTGACCTCAACATGCACCAAGCAAAAAAGTGGTGCACACATATACACGTAGGCAAAATGAAATAAAAATAAATCTTGTTTAGAAAATAAAAAATAAGGTTATGTTTGTGAATACATTTCCTTTTTAACCTTTTGAACTGTCTTTTTTCCTTTTCACAGTAATCCACACACTACGTATTTTCTGTACCTGAACGAGTGAGGCATCTTCTAGTTTGGACTGTTGGAAAATAAGTGTGTACACACTCCTAATTTACCTCCAGTGAAACCGTAATCTGTGGGATATAGAGCAACGCAATCAGTGTTTTCATTAAGCCCAGAGATTACCATAAACCATTTACCAAATCGTCCCATTTTTTACCTACACACCTCTGATTATTGCAAGACACTGGTTATAGTAGAAGGATGTCTTCATGGTACAACATAGTCACTTCTTCATCTGCTTGTTTGCTTTCATCTTTCAATTCTTTTGTTGTTGTTATGTTGGTGGTGGTGATGGTGGTTTTGTTTTGTTTTTTGTTATTAACAGGTGATGAAAAATATCTAGATTCATATTTTGTACATTAAAGTTTTTCCTCCAAGATTCATTAGATAAAATTCAAAGTATTCCTTAAAAAGTGCCATTAACCATGCATCTATGCATAGATTCAATACAAATGAAGTAATATCATCTGGGGTCTCCTGTGTAGTGTGCAGGTTGTCTTGCAGATGTTCCTTGTTCAGGATCCGTCCTTAGGGCATGAGCAGGCTTCTTAGAGTCCACTGCCTATGGTAGGACACCTTACACAACCTTGGAACAGTAACTCAGGCTTAGACCTGCCTCAACTGAGTGTATCAGTCTCTGCTGACTGCCCATGAGAGACTTTGCCATGGAGGAGTTGGGAATGAAAGGTGAGATGGAGAGAAGGCTAGGGGTGGAAGGAGTGAGGGGCAGGGATCTGCAGTTGGTATGTAAAATGAATAGAAAATTTCTTAATAATAAAAAAATGGGCCGGGTGGTGGTGGCGCATGCCTTTAATCCCAGCACTCGGGAGGCAGAGCCAGGCGGATCTCTGTGAGTTCGAGGCCAGCCTGGGCTACCAAGTGAGTTCCAGGAAAAGGCGCAAAGCTACACAGAGAAACCCTGTCTCGAAAAACCAAAAAAAAAAAAAAATGGGACTGCATGAGTGCTTTTCTCATCCACACTGTGATGTTGGCATGCTTCATCTTATGCCACAGTCCCCAAGAGCTCATGTGTGCAACTGCACTAGCATGTCTGTTTCTCTGCAGGTGACTGCTCTCTCTGGCTCTACAGTCCTTCTATGTCCTCTTTCTTGATGATCTTTGAGCCTTAGGAGTTTGTGGTAATATAAAAATGTAGAGTCCTACATTACTACCTATGCTCCAATACATGGTCTCATACCCATGGGCACACAGTCAGGTCTATATGGAATAAGAGTATATTAAACAACAACAACAAAACACATGAAATGATGAGGGAAGAGTTATGGAGGGTATAGTAGAAGAACTGGAGGTGAGGGAATGTGGTGGAGTTTTGATCAAAAACACTTTATATAGTTTGAATGAACTTTAAACAAAAAAGAAGAAAGTACAGGGGTTACACAGATAGTCATTGCTTAAGAGACTGTTCTGCTCTTGTAAATGGCATGGCGTTTGGTTCCTAATATACACATTAGGTGGCTTAGGACTACCTGTAACTCTAGTTTAAGGGAGATTCATCACCTCTGGTTTCCATGGACACCCGCATACATGTGCATGCACATACATATGAACACATAAGAACAATTTTTAAATTAATAAAAAAATTTTAAAATTGAAAAGTTAAATAAAAAAGTTCCATACTTAACTCTGTGGGATAAATAGTGCTTTTATTATTTTTCATTCTTACTTTAAAGATATGAAAACAGACACATTGGAAGAAGCTTTTGCAAATGAAGAAGCCATAAAGCCAAGAAATGGGGAGAGTGCTTATAAATCTAAATTCTACTAGAGGAAAACATACTTAATATCAGGAGTCAGAAGAGTAACTCTCTGAGGCATCAGAGTTTTCCAGGGTATGTTTACTTGCACTCTGAAAAGTACTCACAAGGTCATTAAAAGTTCTTACAAACAGAATGTGTTCACAGGTCCAACAATTTCACCACGTAGCCTTTACAAGTTAACTGAGTTCATGAACTCATGTAGGGAAGGTATTACAAATAACTCTGATGTGTTACAACAGAGTCATTTCATCACCAGAAAATCAGATAAAAAAGATAACAGGAGAAAAAAATATTACAAAAAATTCCTCCCAAAATTATCCATTCCCCAAAATGACCTCCAATCAGAATGGATTAGATGAAATACCATAGTCCTCAAATGAATGATTATATGTATTGCCAACAAAATTAAAGAAGAAATTTAACTCCCCAATGAATCACATGATGACATAAAGAAACAGTTAAGTGAAAAAGAGAAAGTGAATTAAAAAAAATTGAAAGAGGAATTCAGTGAAGAGCATACTGAAATGCTTGAAGGGAACACATTCAGTATAATAAAGGGCTTTGTGGAAAGCCCGCCAATAAAATGTATCAGGACAGACTTTTTGCTTGAACACAAGATGGCAAAATTAGAACATTCCAATGAGTAGAGAGATGGACTGGGCTTTTACCCCTGTGGGTGCTGGGAAGCAAACCAGGGTCCTCTGAAAAAGCAGCAAATGCTCTTAACTTCTGAGCCATCCTTCCAGTGCCCCTCCCTTTCTCCCTTAATTTTGAGACAGAGTGGCATTATGTACCCCTCACTTGCCTGGAACTCACTATGTGGGC